TATACAATGTTAAAATATATGTATATAATTGCATTATGAATGTAACACAAAAATTTAATTCAGCCAGGGTTTACTGGGCTGGAGTTCTTAGGAAACAATGCATCATTTTTATTTAATTTAGCTAGCTATCCACCAGGAAAACAGAAGCTCCTTAAAGACAGGAACTTTGCTTTATCTTATTCCTCAGTGAATCACCAATGCCTGAAACAGTGCCCCTTACGCAGTCTGTTGAATGAACAAATGTTGAGGGGACTATTGGACAGATGAAAAACTAAGTTTCAAGGATGTCAACTTGCCTCAAAGGTATCAAAGAACAGGACAAAGAACAGGTAGCCAAGATCACATAGCACATTTGGGGACTGAGATAAAGCCCAGTTCTATCAAACTTCAAAGGTCAAAGGATGTATTTCAAATTTGCGAAGTCTGCTGTTATGGAAAGTACTACCTTCCTCCAGACATCTTCTATGGATTGTGCATCCTGTGTGTCTGCTCTGAGAGGGAAGCTTGGATTCTCACTATTTGGCACAGTGAATTTCACTCACCTTCTTGCTGTTAAGACAGGAAAGCACGCTTTCTATATGGGGCCCAGCTGAAATGCAGCCATCCCTTTGTGCAGGACCATGACACTTCAGATGCATCCCACTCAACAGCACTGCATGACCACTGCTCATCCGTGACATAACCTTTCATGCCATGTATCATATAGGTTTCACCAGGTCCCTCTATTTTCTCAGCAATTTACTTTTCTAACATTGGGCTTTTATAAAAAATTATTTATAAAAGGGAACAAATTTCATGTATTTCATATATGCAATTTTAAAAGCAGAATGGAAGTATCTTTTTTTTATTTATTTAATGAATATAAGTTTCCAAAGTACGAATAATGGATTACAATGGCTTCCCCCCCATACCGTCCCTCCCACCCACAACCCTCCCCTTTCCCATTCCCTCTCCCCTTCCATTCACATCAAGATTCATTTTCGATTATCTTAATATACAGAAGATCAGCTTAGTATACATTAAGTATGGATTTCAACAGTTTGCTCCCACACAGAAACATAAAGTGAAAAATAATAGATGATTTTTTTTAATGATGATGAAATCAGATCAGACCTATTGTCATGTTTAATCCCAGTGAGAGTCAAGTTGGGAGTTGATAGTTTTTTTTGTTTGTTTGTTTTTTTTTTTTTTTACAGAGGATCAGTTTAGTATGCATTAAGTAAAGATTTCAACAGTTTGCACCCCCATAGAAACACAAAGTGAAATATACTGTTTGAGTATTTGTTATAGCATTAAATTTCAATGCACAGCACATTAAGGACAGAGATCCTACATGAGGAGTAAGTGCACAGTGACTCCTGTTGTTGACTTTACCAATTGACACTCCTGTCTATGGCATCAGTAATCTCCCTATGCTCCAGTCATGAGTTTCCAAGGCTATGGAAGCCCTCTGAGTTCTCCGATTCTTATCTTGTTTCGACAAGGTCATAGTCAAAGTGGAGGTTCTCTCCTCCCTTCAGAGAAAGGTACCTAGAATGGAAGTATCTTTTTACTTTGGGCTTTTATAACTTCTCTGCCATATAACTTTTCAAACCAGCTTTCTATCCTCAAGTATGTTTTTAAACACACAAACTGCATTCTGAAACTGATATTCAAACTGAAATATGTTTAATCAAAACACTAACAAGTCGTAAATGATGTGTTTTCTCCTCTTCTTGTGTAAAGCATGGAATGAACACTTGTGTTCTTGGAGAGGTGCTAGGTGACAATTTGCTCTCCATGAGATTTAGGGAAACTGCTTTACTTTTTCAACTTTATTTCTCTCAAAGTGTAAGCCTCAGGCCAGTTTAAAATATACCTTCAGGGCTGTTGTTATCTTAGCATGGAAAATTTTTGATTTGTTTTATTCAACATGCATAATACAAAATTCAAAATGCAGAAAATTGGAAGTAAATTTTTCACCCACTCTTTCTTTCCAACCTGAAAAACAAAAAACAGTTTCTTATGAGCTCTACTAGAGGAATTCTTTGCAAAGTCAAGCAAATGCCATTTTAATGTATTTTTAACATCAAAGGTAATTTACTATAGATGTCTTTTTTTACATACAAATATATCTTGAAAATCTTTGAATATATTAGAGTTGACCAAAAACTAACTCTCCTTTTGGAAAGCTGTATGGGATTGTTTTTGTATCTTATAAAATTACTTTTAAATTAATGTGGAGTAAAAAAATAAAATAGTGGGAACACTCTAGACATTTTGAAGAGAATAATTATAAGGTAATAATGGGACTACCCAAATGTGTAAATATCCAAATACATTCTAAAAGAAGTAAAACAGTCCAATACCAGCATAAGATAGATCACACAAACAGAAAGAGCATAGCAAATACTTAAGGTACTTAACAACTTAGTATATGGTAAAACTGTGTAATAAATTGAAACTTAGAATAGATTAAATTATAGCATTATCCCATGCTAAATCTATTCCAAATGGATTGAATACTTAAGTGTAAAAAATGAAACTGTAACAGAAGCCAAAGGATATACAGGTAAACATTCGTCTGAATTGGTAGCCAATAAAAACTTTTTTAAATATAAAAATAAAAAATCATAAAGAAGTTTTATGGGTTTGATTATGTAGGTAATAAAATTTCATTACATCTGAAAATTAAAAACAAATTACAAATGGAAAAATGTTGAAACATGTTGCAGACAAATAAACGAATAACAACCTCTATATTGAAAGAAGTCTCATTGATAGTAAAAAATAGATATAAATCATCAATGTAACTATAAACAAACTGCATGGAGTAGCAGTGTGCTAAAGAGAAACACATAAAAATGACCATTTCAAAAAGGTATTAAACTTGCCCATAGTGAAAAAAATGGTAAGTAGTGTAAAATATACACGTATTATATTATATTATATATTATATAAATGTGTATAATTTTTCATTGATACATTAGGAAAATGTAGTTGAATGCACAATTCTCAGTACTGGGAAATGTTTAGTGAACTAGATGCTTTCATATATTTACCACCACTTTGAAGGGTAATTGACATTATGCTTCAAGAACCTTCATATAGGGAATTTGTTGTCTCAATCTTCTATGACATTATTCTAATAAAATGATCAGATGTACACAAAATATGTATATACAAGGATGTCCACAAAAAGTAGTGAAATGATTCAAATTACATACCTATCAGCACTATGGTAGTATACACATATTTATGCATCTTCCCAAATCAAATTTTATAGGAAAAATATAGTCACAAGTTTCTCATAACAAAGTTAAATGAAAAAAATCAGATTATAAAAGACCATATACATTATAAATTCAGTTTAAACACCCACATGTGTATAAATATTCATAGTTTTTCAATAATATACATTTCCATGATCTTTTTATAGGTTCCTAGATGCATAGATTTTCAAAATTTTTTTATGAAAATACATATTGTTAAAAGAAGTTATTTATTTTCATCTTCTTGAAAGGTAGAGAGAGAGAGAGAGAGAGAAAGATCTTCCACCTATTGGTCTCCTCCCCAAAATTCCTGCAACAACCTGGATGGGGCCAAACGGAAGCAAGGAGCCCAGAACTCCATCAGAGTCTCCACATAAGTAGCAATGGCCCAAGCTCTTGAGCCATCATTTTTTGCCTCCCTGGATGTATTAGCAGGAGCTGGATATTAAGTGGTGAAGCCAGGACTCAAACCAGCACTCCAATGTGAATACGGGTATCCCAAACAGCAGTTCTTACTACTTGACTCTACACTTATATTCCGTTTCAAATATTTATTGATTTGAGAGGCAAAGCAACAGACAGAGGGAAAGACAAGAGACATAGGAAACAGATCATCCATCTGCTGGTCCTTTCTCCAAATGGCTGCAACAACCAGGACTGGGCCAGGCTGAATCCAGGAGTCAGAAACCCTATCCTGCTCTCCAACTGAGGAGACAGAGACCTAAGCACTTGGTCTTCCTCCACTTCCTTCCTAAGAGCATTAGCAGGAAGCTGGATTAGAAGTAGAGCAGCTTGGATTGAACATGCACTCTGAAAGGATGCAAACATCACAAGCAATGGTTAAACCTGCTGTGTTACAATACCAGCCCCTAAAATTATATTTTAAGCCCATTTTTTCATCATGTTTTTGAAGTATGCTTTCGTGTGTGTGTGTGTGTGTGTGTATATATATATAATGTAAAAAGATAAGGTTTTACACAATTTTTATCACTTTTCTGGATAAAATTACAAGGATTTTTAGTTTTGTATAGAAAGCTCTTGTCTTTATCATTTGAAAAAGTAAGTGCTATTCTTAAAATTGGAACCAGAACATTTGTGATTTGATATATTTAACTATTTTATGCAAATGTCATATTATTTCTGCCAGCCCTTAGTGAATGTTGCTTGAATGTAGATTTTCTATTTAAAACAAACAAACATTATTACAAATCATTTTCAGAAAGTCTCCAAGCTATAAAATCAAAATCCAAAAGTGTCCCCTGGGATAGTCTAATTATTAATATTTTTGCTTCGTTATGAAGCAGCTATTTAGACAAAAAATAGTTGTTTTATATGCAAGCACTGCTTAAGCCCAATTAAGAAGTTGGCCTCAGTTAAATACCAGTAAGGGAAACAATGGAGATAAATACCTGGCATGTTAACAGCCATGGAATTTGCCAAATTATGTTAGTATTTCTGCTTTCGCCAGCAATAAGCTATGACATCATATGACAGTACTTCAAAAAGTGTGTGGAAAAATCAATTAAAGATAAGTTTAGGAGCAGTTATTTGGCATAAAGGTTAAGATGTTTTCTTGGACACCTGCATCCTGTATTGGAGTGTCTAGGTTTAGGTCCCAGTTTTGCTTCCAATTCCAGGGTCTAGCTAATGTCCAGGGCATTATTTTTTTTCCTCAGGAAGTGATTTTTTTATTGCTTTTAGAACAAAATATGCTCGGAACTTTTTTTGGTAAAGAAAAATACAACTTTTGAAGTTTTCTAAAATAACTGCTTTGTCAACTAGTGAAGTCCGCACTTCGATACAGGGAACCTGCCGGGGCCACGTGGTCCAGCCCGGGGCTGAGGCCCCCCAGAGCCATGCCTCTGCTGGCGGCGGCTGCTCAGAAGCGGGGCTTGCACTTGCGGCCGGTGTACCGTGTGTCAGGTCTGACCTCCTTGCCCTGCCGCCTGCGCCCACGCTCGGCTCTTCCTCACCAGTGACCGCCTCTCGAGCCTGAAGGGGACCCTCGCGTTGGTGAACTGGGATTCACTGGCTTCGTCTTCATCGGGATTTTCACTCAGGCCCTTTGGCAGAACCGTCACGGGCCCAGAAAACACACAGAGGTAGAACTTCTTGGTTTTGGTACTGTTGGGGTAGTCCACCACCACACCGCCAGTGAAGCCGGCCCTCGTGGCCTGTGTCGTGATCAGCTCCTGCTGCTCTGAGTTCTCAGGGTACAGCTGCAGGGCAGCCCGGGCTCCACGCACAAGCACGGAGTAGAGAGAAGAAAAGAAGCACAAGAGGCGCTTGGCCGGGACGTCGGACTTGTTAGAATTGCACAGCCACTGGACGGCAGAGATGCTGATGCAGCCATCAAAGGAGCCTGACTTGAAGGGGATGCCCTGGCCCATGTCCCCCAGAAACAGGTCTCCCTGCGTTTCTCGGTCCAAGGCAGCATCAAGCATGGCAGGGTTGATGTCGATGCCCTCCCAGTAGTGCCCCTCATTTGAGAGGTAATCGCCACTCAGCCCAGAACCGCAGCCAATGTCCAACAGAAAACAGGGCTGACCCTCAGGCAGATAAAGGAGCTCCAAGGCCCGCCCAGCCATCTTGGTCTGGATATCAATCATCCGCGAATTGCGAATGTATTTCCGGGCTTCATTCTGCCTAGGTGGCAGGTGATAGCCCAAGTATTGTACCATCCACGTGGGACACCCAGATTCTGTTCTCAGCTTCTAGCTTCAACTGCAGCTGTTGCTGGTGATTGCAGAGTGATGGAAGATCTTTCTCTTTCTTTCTTTATCATTCAAATAATAAATAAATGTGCAAATATTTTAGGAGACAAACATTTTGGCACAGAATAATTTGAAACACATGCATAGTTTTTCATAATACACATTTTCTGTGAATGTTTTGAAGACCTCTTATATGTTCAAGTTCCACCCCTGGCACAAAAACAGTAATTAGGCTAGTAATCTCGATCAGGAATTCATTTCAAAACAAATCACATTTTTTTGCATGATTTGCCAAGTAATTTTTCAGTTTCTTTTCACGGTTTTCTGAGAAAGACCAAACCTATGATTTAGCTCTTGGATTGGCAACAGAGTCAGTCAGGCACGAGAAACCATTACTAATGCATTTAAAACTCTGAAATCTATTTCTATTTCACTTCTCCCATTTTATGAGAACAATCAGCTCCATTCTAGTTTTCTAGGACTGCTAATCAGTGTTCAATTCCCAAAAGCAAATAAGACGGAGGTCTCATTAATTTTCAAGAGATCCTCCTCTTCAGATTCGCTGATGCCCAGTGACCTAAAATTATGTGTGTATTAAAGTTAGTAATGTTTGCAAGTTCCTATTTTCTTACTATTTCTTAAATAGTATTCTTGGTAGATTGATAACTGATAGTTCATGCAGTCCCTATTAACCCAAAATATGCAATAAAATATTTTTGCTTAAAGATGGAAGAGCAGATTTTGACAGAATGATGACTGCCACTTGGAAAAAATAGGAAACCTGGTAAGTTATGATAATCACCTGCATGAAGTCAGAAGACTGCTGCAATAGAAAAAAGAATTTCAAGGGTCACAACTTCAGAGGAGGAAAAACACAACACAAGCAAACAGAATTTTTCAGTCACTTTCACACAAGGTCATTTGCCAACCCTGTGCATGACATAAAGATAAACATTATAGTTAATTTTTGTACCAACTTGACTGAGCTGAGGGATGCCAAGAAAGCTGTTCAAATTTTATTTGCATGTCTGTCTGGGAGGCTATTTCTGCAGGAGATTCACATTTGAATCAGTAGATCAAGAAAAGACCCATCCTCGCCAATGCTGATAGTTGCCGCCCTATCCATTGAGGACTCAAATGCAAAAATGGGTGGAAGGGCAATTCTTCTTTCTCTTTTTTTAAATTTAATTTAAGTTATACAAGTTTCATGTATTTGAGATATACAAATTTATTTCGGAACATAGTGATACTTAAGGTGTGATGTCCATATTCTCCTGCCTTCAGATTTGGAGCTGATGGTTCTCAGACCTTCAGACTCAGAGACCTCCCCACATCCTTCTCAGGCCTTTAAACTTAGACTGGAAGTCACACCATCAGCTCCACTAATTCTTCAGCCTTCAGATTCACAATGAATTATAGCACTGGCTTTCATGTCTTTCTTCGCTTGTGTGTTAATTCATTTACTTAGAATATGAGTGTTGTTTCTCTGGGGAATCCCAACTATTAAAGATAATTTGAGTTTTGTACAGTCCTTAGCATCTTTTGAGCGTTGGCTCCAGGAGCCCCTACAGATATTAAAATCCACAAATGCTGAAGTTCCCTTATATAAAATGATGCAGCATTTGCATGTAACCTACATACATCCTTCTGAATAGGAGGTAATTCAAAAAAGTCATGAGAGAGAGAGTTAAAACAACATTATTTTCATGCAAAAAGTTTGAAATCCTTGCATAGTTTTTTTCATGATATTTATTTTTGTTTTTTGAAGAATCCTTATATTTTATCTCTGGATTATTTGTAGTACCTAATACAATGTAAAACTCAAGTAAATAATTGTTACACTGTACATTTTAAGGAAGAGGGAAAAGGAAAAAGTAACTATACATGTTCTGGGTAAATACAATTTTTTAAAGAATAACTTTGTTCCACAATTAGTTGAATCTGCAAACGTAGAACCTAGTGGAACCTGGGGGCCAATTGTACTCAGAGAGATATACCATGGAAAATCATAGAGGAAAAATTAAGTTTTTTCTGAGGATATGAAGACGATAAGGTATATTGCTAGCTCTCTTAGCACAATTATCAAATTCTGGGGAAATAGGCAAGAAACTGAAACCTAAATAGCAAGCTTCCAAGAAATTTTTGACACTCTATCATAAAAATATATAATTAAACAAACATAAAGGCAACCCACAAATATTTGCAACACAAATACCCAACCAAGATTTTTATATACAATATTCAAAAAACCTCTACAAATCAACAAAAACACATGATACATTCCAACTGCAAAAAAAGCCAGCTTTTTAACAGGCAAATATATGAACGAGCACTTCACAAATAAAATACCCATTTGGTAAGTAATCATAGGGATGGTGCTCAACTTAATTAATCACCATGAAAATTTGAATTTTTAAAAATTCGATTAACCTGTAATACTTATGCATCTTTATGTAACATGGTGTAATTTTTCAACACATGCATACCACATAAACTGATTAAATTAGTTAATGAGCATCTTCATCTTCATCTTCATCCTCCCCGCTGTGTAAGGAGTTTAGGGGTTAACAAGCTCTACCTCTTTGTCAGTATATGATACATAGTTGTGAATTATAGTTGCTACACTATGCCACGAAACAGTAGATTCTATTACTTCTATATAATATTTGGTACTAGGAAAATGAGAATTTAAATAAAAAGCAACACTAGTATATACCTAAAAATCTAAGATTAAAAATGTAATAATTCCAAGTGTTAGTAAAGATTTAGAGTAACCATAACTCCCATACATTGAGGCAGGACTGTGAGTTAAAAGCACTTGGCATAATTACTAAAGGCAAGCTTATGCATATCATTGATCAAGCTACTCCACTCCTTAGGTCTAGTCTATTCAAAAATGCATGTATATGCACCAAAATATGTGCACAGGAATGCCCATAACAGTACTATTTATAATATCCCCACATAGAAAGCTACCCAAATACACATCAATAGACTGTATGAATAAGTAGTGGTATATTTACACAGTGACTACTATCCAGCCATGAGAATGAACTATAACTATATAAAACAGCAAGGATATGTTACAACTATAATGTAGAAAAAAAGAAACTAGACTCAAAAGTATACATATTTTGCAATTATTAATAAAAATTATAAAAACAGGCCAAAATTAGTCTACAGGAACAAAATTCAACACAGCAATTACTCATAGAAGCTGAGCAAATGCAAGAAGATGAATGAGTTCTTTGGAGATGTAAGTAATGTCCTATTTGAAATCTGGGTGCTGGTCACATGAATTTGTTCACTTTGTGAAAATTTTCTCTGCTAGCCACTTTATTCCCACACTTTTTGTAGATATATTTCAATTATAAGTTTATATCAAATGATATGCATATAGAGAAGAGAGTTGTCACAGCAATCAAAGAAAACTAAGATTGACAGATGTATCAAAATCTCAGTATACATTCAGTTCATATGTTAGTCATACTCTAGGTTTCTACATTTTTGTCTCTCAAACTAACTAAACAAATATTAAATACCTGCTTGCTAGTCAAGTGGAGAAAACAAGTGGAAGACATTCCCTCAATTTCATGGTGTTTAAGAGGTATTTACAATTTGTTTTGGGGAGACAAGACTAGAAAATAGTAAGTAGGGTTTTAAATTAATATTTTTAAAGGAATGGGTTAAAATTAATTCTGTAAAATCTTGAATTTTGGGAGTTTTCAGCTAATTCAGTTTTAGCTAATTCAAATCTCTCCAGTTATCCTTTGAATGTCATATTTCCTGTTCGCAGAATATAGCATGTTATTTGAAAATAGCAAGGCAGAGGGAGTGCTATAAACCATAAACCCAAAACAGCAGAAAGCAGGAAAACCCAAACACCAAGATACCTTTTGCAAACACTTTTCCCAACAATGAAAATAGGGGAGAGGGCAGTCTCCACTATGATCCTATGAAGGCTTCTCTGAAACAATCACCTTTTCAGACACCATTAGATCAAAGCCCTGCTGATTCCTTTCCATTTCACATAGGCACTGACCTTACATAGATTCCTATAGCTTTGGCTTCTCCCTTCATGTCACAGATCATTCCTCCTCCAAAAATCCCTCTATTTAGATTTCACTACCACTCTGGCCAATGATGTATGTCCTGATGGATACATCTTTGGTTTGAACTGTGCTCAACATGCATTCACATTGCAATCTACTTCTTAATACCTGAATGCAACTCACAGATTCAATCAGTCTATAGCACAGCTCATGTTGTCAGTATTTTGTGTACTATTTCTTCTCTTATGGGAACTCCAAATAGATGTACACTCAGACAACCAAAGTTATCTAAGAGTGCACTGATGCATAGTTTGCATTTTTTCAGTCTTTTCAAATGCTTGTTGAATTTATTACACTTTCTATAGATACATTTTTAAATTAGCTATCTTTCTTCTGGAGTATTTAATCTGGGGCCAATCTCATCCAATGTATTTTTTAACATCAGACATTGTAGTGTTTATCATTAGAAACTTAATTTGGATGTTCTTTACATTCTCCAGATCTTAATATCCTGGGACACCCAAGTCTGTCTCCTCAGTTTCTGGAGTTCTCCTCCCTTGCTGCAGCCTGGAAAATCTAAGCAGCTACCTGAGGCCATTGTAGTGCTCACCTGGCTTGCTTTTCCTCTCTCAGGTTTAACTGTCCTGTACTGCCTGATGTCTAACGTCTAAAAAATTATGTTTAATATATTTCATTTGGGTTTTTAGCTATTTCAGGCCGAAGGGTTAAACTAGTCACCCATACACAAATTGGTTGGGGGCAGCATTTTTCTTTCTATTTATTTGAAAGGTTTTTTCTTCTCTCAGTATATTTTTCTTTCAATTTGTTTTTCTGAATATCACTTATGATTTACAATTTCAATCGGTATATGGTGCTTGCTTTTTTAAACTTTTATTTAATAAATATAAATTTCCAAAGTACAGCTTATGGATTACAATGGCTTCCCACCCCCATAACTACCCTTCTACCCGCAACCCTCCCATCTCCCGATCCCTCTCCCATTCCATTCGCTTCAAGATTCATTTTCAATTATTTCTATATACAGAAGATCAATTTAGTATATATTAAGTAAAGATTTCAACAGTTTGCACCCACATAGAAACACAAAGTGAAAAATACTGTTTGAGTACTAGTTATAGCATTAATTCACATTGAACTACACATTAAGGACAGTGCACAGTGACTCCTGTTGTTGACTTACAAATTGACACTCTTGTTTATGGCATCAGTAATCACTCTAGGCTCTTGTCAAGAGTTGCTAAGGCTAGGCCGGCGCCGTGGCTCAATAGGCTAATCCTCCACCTTGCGGCGCCGGCACACCGGGTTCTAGTCCCGGTCGGGGCGCCGGATTCTGTCCCGGTTGCCCCTCTTCCAGGCCAGCTCTCTGCTATGGCCAGGGAGTGCAGTGGAGGATGGCCCAGGTGCTTGGGCCCTGCACCCCATGGGAGACCAGGAAAAGCAC